GTCCATCAACAGATAAGTGGTTAAAGAAAATACCTTACATTTTCATCCACAAATAAAATAAAATTCCACTGACATGGAAGTAGACCATGTTAAAAGAAATAAGCCAGACTCAGAAAGATAAATGCTGTGTGTTTCCTCTCATATATTCAATCTAGATTCAGATGTGCATATGTGCATGTGTTTTAAGAGAACTTGTGTAGCTGATGTTATTTATGACTTATATATTTGGTAGGACCCACCAAAAATATGTGCATTTTCTTCGCAGCAGTAGTTTTTTCAGTGAGATTTTAAGTAAAAATGTGATTTCCTTAGGTCTTGTTTAGGTAGGTTAGGTGATTTCTTTATGAAGGCTGTTCAGGTTATCTATCACTAATTAAAAATAACTCATTTTTGTGCTATTTCAGAATGCCACAAACAGGGAAAATTATAAAGAAGAGGAACTTATTTTGTCCGTGGTAAGCTCGGAGGAGGTACAAGCTGAAAACACTGAACTTTGATAATGACCTTCCTGGTGTGTCCTCACATGGTAGAAATCAGGAGGGCAAAGGAGCAGGAGAGAGAGGAAGAGCAGAATACTGCTTTGAGAGCAGTATATCTGTGTAACACTGTTGTCTTGCTGATCAGCTTTCTGATATGCAAATTTGAGGAGATATATTGAAACCAGTAGAGTCTATTTTATCTAAGTGGTCAACTTATCGGCAGTAAAATGTTCATATTGAAATTGTCTTATCTCTTTAGTGTCTTTGGGATTTGGGATTAGACACCACTTTCATTCTCAGGATTGGTAGTTTGTGCTGTTTTTCTTCCCCTTCTTTACCCATAACTTCTTAGATTATGAAGGATTCTGGCCTTGATGAGGGTTTTCATACCCTAGTTGTGATCTTTAGCTTGGCGTGAATCATATTAAAGTTTCTTGGGTTTCCTAGGATGTCCAAAAATAAATCCATGCCCCTGACATCAAATCATAAATTGAGTGTGTCAATAAGAACAAAAACTGGGTGTGGTGGTTCACACCTTTAATCCCAGAACCTGGGAGGCAAAGGCAGGCAGGCTTCTGTGAGTTTGAGGCCAGCCTGGACTATATAGTGAGTTCTAGAAAAACCAGGGCTACATAGAGAGACCCTATATCAAAACAAGCAAGCAAACAAGCAAACAAACAAACAAAGATAAAAATATAATTTAATTTCTCCTTTTTGGAGATCAGTTAATGTCAGATATCTATAAAAAAAACCTGGTACCCTATTGCATAAGATTTTAATTTTAATATTTATTTGACACATTAAGCTGCTGGATCCTGCCCCTGGAGAGTCTGGTTCATTAAGTCTGAGGTAAGGCCTGAATAAAAATATTTTTACAGCCTTCCTGAGATGTGACAACAGATGAGGACTGAGATCCGCTGGAGCAGAAGACCTTGTAAATGTTCTCCAGTGTGGCTACTGCCTGGGACTAGGAAAATTAGGTGGGCTTATGCTGCCCTCTGGTGCCTTGTGGAGGGCCTTTCATTTTAAGGCGCCCGAAGCTTTGAATTCGGGGAGGGGACTGGACTGTGAGCATTGACAGCGCTCACAAGTGACAGCGGCCATGTTTCTCTGTCCCCAGAGCCTTAGAACATCTCAGGTGTCACAAAGGTTTCCTGAGCATGGAGAGACAACATTGGCATGCATGGTGTGTCTGTCCAAATTCTTCCTTCCAGGGCCGTGTGTCCCCCAGCACCTATGAACTGATAGGCGTGAACAGCTTCCTGGAGAAACCTGATGACAGTAATTGTGGCACTGCAGCAGGACCATGGAAGCGGGGTCTGCCTTAAGCGCGGTTCCCAGAAACAGACGAGTAAGGGGCCCTCACTCTGCTGTGCCCACCCCTCGCCAGAACTCACAGAGGCATGCCATGGGCTTCATCTCCCCTGTTTCCCGTTCAGACAAGAGGCTGAAGACAGGTGTGATGACCCACACTCACAGGACTGAAACTGGCTGGCCGTGTCCACTGTTAGGAACGGTGTCTCTGCTCAGGAACTCTGACCCACTGTGCTCTCCACACAGGCACCTCCTGCTGACAAGTACCAGATCAGCAGATAAACCTGTGCTACAGGGGACTCTGCAAAGACGCATTTGCCCTCACATGTGGTTCCATCTCCTCCTCGGCCCCGAGACAGAGGAGCAGCGCCCAGGAAGCCAAAGGAGAGGCGTGTGCGGCAGAGGGTCTTGGTGGTGCCACAGAGGATGGGGGTCACCTGTGTAGCAAATGGTTCACTAGCAGGAGAAGTGCAAGGTTTACAAAGTGCATTAGCTTTTGTTTTGTTTTGTTTTTTCTGTGTAAGAAGTCAGGTAATAAAGGCCAAGGCCTGCCATAGAAGCCTAGAGGGCAGCAGAAGCCGCTGGATGGAAGTGATAAAACACAGCAGGATGAGCTGAGAGAGAATGTTTGACGTCCTAGCATTTAGGAGCATAAAATGGAGCCTAGGAGTTCAAGGCTGGCTTGAGTGACATATTGAGACCCTGTCTCAAAAAAAGTCATCAGGATTGACTATGTGAAAGGTTCTCCATCCGAAGCACTGTGGACTTTAAAACATAATTGCAAATCCAGAAAGTCTTCCATGAAGTTTACTTAGGGTTCATTGACACCTTATCAATGTGAGCCCAAGGTTGTGTAATGTGCCTGTGCTTTGACTATGTCCTGTCGTGGAATTTTCCATGTGTGGTATCATGCTAAATTTTTTAAAAAACTCCGGTTTTGGAACATTTTAGGTTTTAAATTAAGGTTCTTCAATAGTAAAAGAAATCTGCTACTTTGAAGGCGTGTGGACTAAAGCACTGACACGTGCCAATTGTGTGAGTGGCTTTTGTGCTGCTGGGACCAACATATCTGAGGGTGAGAGTTCTCTTGGCTTATGTACAGTGTTAGTTTTCATGGCAGAGAGGCTCAGCCTGTGGCAGTGGAAACGTGGGGTGTGGCTCTTTCCATGGTGGTGAGCCAGGAAGTAGAGAAAAGGGGACTACCTAGACCTGGAACCTGCCACTTCTGCCAGATGGGCCCCTCCTGAGGTCAGAGCAGGTGGGAATATTTCAGAGTCAAACCTTAACTTCGAGTCTCACTTGACTTTTGCTAAGCTGTCATTTAGTACTCCTTATTTAGAAATACTCCCATTCCTGCATTTTGATAGTTGCAAATTCATAAAAGATTATGATAGCACGGATCCATCTCATATTCACATGTGACTTTTTCTACATCATCTTTAATCTAAAATTTGATTTTGTAGATAAGAGATATTTAAGAAAAATGTTAATTGATGCATTTATCAAATAATTTCCAGAATATTCTTTTTAAGTAGTAAAAAAATATTCATAACCACAATTTTTAAAATTTTGCTATGATATACTTAACATAAAATGAACTACTATTTTAAGGACTTTTCTATGTCTTTATTTACTTTTATTGTTATGGTGCTGGGATCAAAGCAAAGCCTTCCAGCTGCTGGGCAAAGCGTCTCCCACTGAGCTCGTTCCTAAGTGTATAGTCGAGGGTGTTAAAACATTGCATGGTCGTCACTGCTGGTGACAGGAGCCCCGAGAAACACCCACGCGTTCCCACTCCCAGGAAAGGATGGCTCTTGAGTCAGTCTTGTCTTTGAAACTAGACTTTTTAAGTGTCCTGTGAACAAGCAGGCAACGAACTTGTTACTTACCTACCTCTCTTCCTACCTACTGTCTAACAGGGTGAGCACATATCAAAATCTTCCCATGTCTGTTTGTTGGGGAGCTGGATGCTGAAGGAAGGGCCAAATGGCCTTTCCAGAGACTTTGAACCAAGACCACTCTTAATCAGAACAAGACTATCTCAAGGAAATTGTTGGAGATACAGTGTCCTGTCACTAGGAACTATGATGTTGACATTCATGGTGAATCAGTAGAGAGCAGGAAGGGTAGGTATTGGCATTGAATGCAGGAAATTTTGCTATGCATACGGGCATTCAAAGTTTCATTAAACACCTTTTCAGTCAAATATTGTAATCATGGTGGTTTCAACTAAAGACTCACAGATTTGTAGTTTTTAATCAAAAGTTTTGCCAATAACCTAGCTCAAGGAATAGGCCAGGTGCAACAAGACCTGCAGAGACAATTGAAAGAATAGTGCTTTGCATGGGACTTTCAAAGTTAGTCTCATTCATGTGCTTCCGTGGGAGGTGCTGCTTATAAGATCTTCCCATCCACTTCATGAGACACTTCACAGCCTAGGATTAGTCCTTTATAGAAATATTTCAGAGAACAGCAGCTGGGGTGTGGTGGCACACCTTTAATCCCCAAACTCAGAAGGCAGAGATTGGCAGATCTCTGTGACTTCAAGGCCAGCCTGGTCTACAGAATGAGTCCAGGACAGCCAAAGCTAAACAGAGGAACCCTGTCTCAAAAATACAAAAATAAATAAATAGCCAGATATAAATAAATAGCAAGCCAGAAAGTTTTTTCCTTTTTTCCCTTGACCTATTTTACATGAAACCCCATTTCAATAGCATCTATCAGTCATTGCCTATGATATTAAAATTATGTTTTTAAGATTTAACAATGTAGTGCCTGCCCAACTCTGTTGTATGATTTTTAGTTATCTCCCCAGGACTTAGCCTCCATCTTGCTTAAAGTGTATGTAGTTTGCATAAAGACTCAGTTATATGGAGACAGTGGCCAGATGGTGGAATTAACAGAGAAGTGAGCTATCACACTACAGGGAGTAGGAAAGCATGAAGGAGTATTTGGCATCTGTGTCCATAGCATCTTTTATCACAGATGCTGACACCCTCGCCTGAACACTGAACCACCACACGAGTTTATCCAAGATGGAAAAAGGTCTTTAATTTTATGCCTGTGCTGTGGAACAGGAGGGCTTTGTGATGTATTTGGTGGTCTGGGTATATCTTCTGTGAGGCAGAGAGCCAAACTCTAGAACTCAGAGGCACTGCATTCTAACACCTCAGAAGCCGAGGAGGGGATGACTAAGGAAGTTGAGTGATGCTGAGCCCTACCTTCATTCTGTGGGATGTGGGGTACCCACTATATACTTACGGATCTATCTTCATTATTGCATTAATTATTTGGCATGTGAAAAGGAGCCATCAAGGATTAATGTTGGGACCTGACAAGAGCTGTTACAAGGTAGGAAAATTCTAGACCAGGCCTGAATGTGTTGTTTATAAGATGTTTATCCCTCACCATCTCTTGGTTACCCATTGATTTTTTTTTTTTTAAATAATTTCTTCACTGGATCCTAGATCAGCTCTGATTTGGGTCTTTATCTTGCTTGAGGAAGACACTGATAACTGAAGTCCTTTGGTTTCTAGTATTGTCCATTGTTTAATTTGTCCCATCTTTCTTCCTGTCCCAAGTCTACCATAGAACTTGTTCATGAAATGGGATGGATGGTATAGAGTATGGAAGAGCCTTAAAGTGAGCCAGAAATGAAAGAATGACACTCTGGAGTGATGAGATGGGAAGGAAAGACAGAGGAAGCACAAAGCTAGATTACAGAAAAAGATTAGGGGATATTTCTGAATTTTCTATCACTTAAGACATGAAAAAAATTGGTGTTCCCATTTTATATTCTAATTTTTTGTCTTTCAAGTGTTATCAGAGAATCAAACAAAGGCCTGGAGATAGAACATCAAGAGGTAAATCCCAATTTATTTGACCCCTTACCCCTGTGGGTGATGTTTCCACAGATCCTGAGCCCTGTGAGGACTGGCACCGGAAGCCAGGTGTTTACAACCCTTGAAGACTGTAACATAAACCCATGACAACTAAAGGAGACTTATGTGGGCGGGGAAGAGGCCGGGACCATCCCCTGTCTGACCTTCCTGAGATAAAGTACAAGGACATAGAGACAGTTCTCAGTTCTGTCATTGTGAGTTTTAAAGCCCTGTGGGCATCATGCCACCTCCATCTTCTCCACAAAATGCGCACTAGCAGAGTGGTGAAGATCAAGTGAAATTAGGTATAGGACAGCAAACAGTTAAGTTGTACTCGGAGCATTTCCTCTCGGGTTGTTGGTCACCTGTCCTTCAAAAGCCCTCAGCTTCTTACGGGTTGCCCCTCACCCTTCCGTTTTGCCTGACACTGTGCCCCCTCTTCAGCTAAGAGGACCTCCAAGGAAGAAGCTGAGAAGCTGCGGAAGCTGCTCTCTGTTATGAAAAGGTGACTCCTGCCGTCTGGTCTGCCAGCTCCTGGCCTGCATATGATAATGGCTTTGCCTGGACGGGGCGAAGGATGAGGGTGGGGTGTTGATAGAGAGAGAGACACCATGGAGCTTATCAGTCCAAGCTGAGAAGTCCAGAAGTCCAGAGCAGAGATGTCTCGAGGGAAGAGCCACCCCTTTTACTCTAGTTAAACGGGTGGCTGCATTTCAGGGTTAACTAGTGCTGGCATTTGTTTGTCGTGGGGCAAGTGATCCAGTCAAGAGGATAGGCTTGGCATAAAGAAATCATTACTGTCCCATCTCTCTCCAGCTGCACCCTTTCAAGGTAGGGCTCTGGATCTGGCTGAATGCAGCTGACAAACCTAGTCTTCCATAAGGCCAGTTCCAGGGACATGCTCAGTCAGCCATCTTATTCTTACCCTAGGACCTCTATAGGATGGGATTGATTCTCAAGATATGCTGGGGACAGACAGCAGCAGGGACACCCAGAGTTCTTAAAATGAGGACCTCATTTCTCACCTTCTATTCACCGGGCACCAGGTTTCTGAGCCTCCAAATAAAAGTGATTCAGGCTTCTGTGGTGGTATCCTCGGTGGTACCCCATCGTCTAATCACTTGGTCCTTATCTGCCTGCTTCTCAGTACAGTTGGTAGAAACTGACCCAAGTTTCCAGTCCTCTCTGAGGGCTGTACCCTGCAATAGTCTCCCCAGACTCTCAGCCCAACACTTTACCACACCTTACCACACCTTCCTTCCTTGCTAGGAAGGAAAGCAGAGTGGTAGATGGCAGAAGAAATAGGCCCAGGATGTTTGGGCTGTCATTAATGGTTGCCATTTCCCTTTCTAGCCAGGGCTGGCTTCCTCAGGAAGAAAGTATACGGAGGCTCCTGTGCTCAGATCCCTCCTGCCCAATCTGCAATGCTATGGCCCTGGAAATCCAGCAGTTGCTAGGGAGTGAGAACAAAGAGACCTCTTGTACTTCACTGAGGCAGTCACAGAGCTTTTCTTGCCTGGAGGCATTGTCTTCATCCAAAGTGTTGTGTGACAAGAATTCAGAGCTCTGTTCGCAACACTCCAGAGACACGTCACTGGCACCCGGCTTCTCACCATCACAGTCAACAGATCAGAAATCTTCTCCTCAGTCAGCTGCCCCATCAACTGCTGATGTCAACTTCCAGTATTACTGTCCTGATCATCAGCAAAGCCAGAAATCTCAAGGGTCAAACGTGTCCCAGGATGCAGGGTCTCTGTCATCTTCAAGTATGGAAGAGCCTGGGGTCCTTGCAAACCAGCCAAAGAAGAGGAAGAAAAACAGGAAACTTGTCTTGAAGAACAAAGGTCAGCAGCCCTTGAATACTAGATTCCTTCCTTTTCCCAGGACCCAGAGCTTCCTGAACCTAAAACAATACCCTATGCCCTCACATTCCCTTCACCTGCTTGTTCCTGGATCCAAAAGGCCCCATGGTGCTTGTAGAGGAGGGTATACAGATGCGCATTTTCACATGGGCTTTCCCTTGAACTGTGGAGGAGTTCTGTGGCTTAGGTTTTATGCTCTCCATCTTTTATTTTAGTGGCCTTTATACATTGCCTTGAAGGAATGTGGCACAGGCAGAGCTCACACCAAAACACCAGTGTGGCATCTCTAATTCTGTTCTGTAGTTATCTTCTGCATAAGGGGTTTTGAGTCAGCCTTTAGAGATCTTTCCACAACAGGTGTCAGGGTGGGGGCAGGGCTATGGGACTTTCTTACTCAATTTCTCCTTTATCTCTACATTACCTAAAATTTCCTGCACTCCAGCTTCTTTTCCCACATTCTCAAACTTGGGCATTTCCATGGACAAACCCAGATTAATGTCCTGGTTCTGGCCAAGTGCGAAGTCCTTGTGTGCCACCTGTGAGTATGGCTGCTGTAGCCTTAGGGGGTCCTGCCACTCATCCGGAGAGCTCTGTAGATGCAGAGAACCACACAATGTAAACTCTGAGCTGTGTTACAGCCGGCCTCAGCAGATCCAGGCCTCTCCCTGATTAGACCTCCAGAGGGTAGCAGCCTTGTCCTGGAGTGTTCCAGCTAGGTTGTGCTCCGGAAGCGATTGAAACGGCAGGTAACTTTATTGTTAAAGACCTAGCTCTTCCCCTGCTGACAGCAGCCTGTGTCCTGACGCAGCACAACCCTGAGTAGTGCTGGGCCCTGGCAACCCTTGAGGATAGGGACCTGTACTGGCCTATTGCGGCAGTCTATAGGTTAGGGCCGGTCTGTAGTTGGCCGATCAGACCCAAACATTGTGGCAGGGTCCACAGATCACACGTAGATGTGCCGGAGCGGCGTCCCCGCCTCCGTCTGTAATCCCTGAGACTGGGAATCATTCTCTGCAGGGTGCCAGCAACTCTGACAGCAACTTGGTTCTGTTCTTCCCTGGAAGACAAGTTTGAGGCATAAAGATAATATCAGCCCCGTGCTTAGATCAGATTGCTGAGGGCTGACAGCCTTGACCACCAGTAGCAGAGTGGCCAGATGTTCTTACCAACAACCCTGAACTGCCATGCCTTGTTTCCGGGAACCACTGAGAGACTGAAAACAAGATTGCTTTCCTCCCAGGGTTGCTGCTGTTTTGTGGATGTCTCTGGGCTACTCTCACCATCCTAGCCAATACACGAGGACAGCTATGGGGCCTGAGCCCATTGGAGTCTCTGACTCAGTCTTACTTTTGTGGCGTTCTAAGTCCTGGCCAGGTGTTCAGAGTGCCAGGACACCTTATGCAGAGTCTGTGTCCAGGCTGAAGTACAGTCGAGGACATGTTCCTGATGCTTCATAGTCATTCAAAACATTTAGCTTTCCCCAAACTAAACTTCAACCTGAAAAAAAAAATTCCTAGAGACACATTTGGGTAAGCCTCATTCAGACAGGAGGACAGGTAACATCTTTCTTTTTTTTTTTTTTTTGCCAAAGAATCTCTACACAGGAGACCTTTGGGAATTCAAACAAGCAAAGGAAAGTATTGCTCCAGGGTTCCCATCCCACCAGAACCCCCATGTCCCTCAGAGCTCGAGTGATCTTGAAAGAAAAGTTTTCAGCTGAACTAAAGACAGCAGAGTAGAGCCTAGAGTGAGCGCAGTATCCTCAGGGTCTCAGGAAGTGTTTTACATCTCCCAATGCAGTCCAGAACACAGTAGAGACCCAGGTTCTTTGTGTGTGGCTGGGGGGAAAGTGAATCCAGCCCAAGAACTCCTGGACCCCTCAGACCAGGGTGAAGCTCAGTCCTGGCCTAAGCAGGGAAGACAGAGGACCTAGTGGAATTCAAACCAGCCAAGAACCACAGAGCGCAGCACACGCTTCGCTGAGGTCCATGTGCCAGTAGATTTCTAAACAGAAGCCCAGGCCCATTTGACTTCCCATTGGCTCTTCAGGATCTTTCTCAGGTAGAATTTTAATTTAAGCAAGTTAGTTGTCTCTAGGGAGTAGAAGCTTGGGAGAAATCCATCTGGAAAGCCATCATCTCTATCCCTTTGGCTTTCAGTTCCATGCCAACACTTTCACCAGTTTCTTCACTGGTTTCCAGAGCACCCTTCAGGATTCCCTCAGGGCAGATATGACAGGAAAATGATCTGCACAGCCAATAGACTAAACCAAATGATCTCACCCAAAGGTTCCTGAGAATGCCCAGCCTATGGTGCCCAGCCCTTACAGGGTCAGACCTTACAATGTCATCCTACTGGGCCATCAGCTGCTGGACTCAAATTTGCCAGTCCAGCATCAGAAGGGGCTTCATTTTCAAATAGAATTTAGAGTTGGAGGGTCCAGCAGCAGAGATGATACTCACCAGAGTTCCACCTTTCCAGAACCCCCAGAAGCTGACGTGGAAAATAAGATGACATTCTACTCACATTGGGTTAACCCTGAAGTGAACTGTGAAAGACAAGAGGAACCTATCATGCTCTCGAAGTCTGAAACAGAGGCCAAACCCAAGACTGCGAAGAGTCAGACTCCTGTCAAAGACGGAGCAGAGGGACCCACTGTGGAGAAGACTACAAAGGGCCCGAAAGCCAGTTCCGTTTGTGCTAAGAACATTTGACTTTCCTCAGCATCTACAGTGCCTGCGCAGCTCCAGCAATGCCCCTTCTGCCCGGCTAACCCTGCTCCGACGGCTGCTCCCATAGCTGCTTCAAAAATTGACTTGTGTCACCCAGCTAGGAAACCAATGTCAGATCTCCCCTCAACTCAGCAGAAGGCCCGGTTTACACAGAGAGGAGAAGCATTTCAAGCAGAGAGTCTGTAGGTTCCCAAAGTTCTGCATCCACCCTAACAAAGGCTATCAACCATCATTTCCACTCCCACGGAAGAAAGCCTTGGCATTCTCCAAATATACTCTATACCTATAAAGCAAAGGGCCACCTGTATTTTCTTTTTCATTGCTGTATTTGATAAAGTAGGAAACGCTCTCCATGTGGTATCGAGTGCTGAAGTGTGCCTGTCACTTTGATGGGTCAGCGTCTATATCATATATATATCCATCCCCTGGGTAAAGAGACTTACGTGGAGAAGGAAGACCCTTGTTTAAAGTACACTGAAGGTATAGATCACACTTGAATTCCCATGAAGAAAGGAGCCACCTACCTTTTCTTTTAAAAGTGCTCAATCTGTTCCTGTGTTGATGTCTCCCTTTTGCATTTTACTTATTCTGTTGGCTCCACCCAAATGAATTCTTCATGTACTTCAGAAACCCAAGAGCTGGGCTTCCTTGTGATGTGGTATGAGGCAGAGGTGGGTACCTTTGGTTCATAAGGAATTCAGCATCTGTCACCATCCTGTCAAGTCAAGAAAAAGTGGTAACGGGAGTTGCTTCCTCTCAAAGGACCCCGCTGTTTAGCACAATGTGTCTGCTCTAGCAGGAGGCAGAAAACGCAGGTGGGAGAAAGGATGAATGTGTGTGTCATTTCTCCCTTCAGCAGTGACTTGAAGGAAGGAAGAGCAGCCCTTGGTTGACCCTCAAAGCAGAGGGACACCAGGCCCAGGCCAGCTAAGCTAATATTTTCCTGGTGTTCTCCTGGAGCACCCCAAAGATCAAGGAGCTCTTCTGACAGGCACATCCTCTCTCCCTGTGGGAGCCAGGCAGAGGGCCACAGAGCTAGGGGACTAGAGGGGAGGCCTCATGAGGGAACTGAGGCGGGGAAATGAGTTGATGTGCACACTTCCTGGGTTAAGATGGAGTGCGTTCTTCCCTCCAGGTTGTTGTCTGGCTTCTATTTTGTGGCAAAATTGGACAATTGATCCCCCTTAATTATTTTTTAAATTTTACTTTACATTTTTTATAAAATGTATTTTGGTCATATGTTTCCTCCAGGTCTTCTCTGGCGCCCATAAATTAGGCGCCACTCAGTCCTCGTCAGAGAAGCAGCTTCTTCCAGTAGGTGTAATTGACACGAAGACCCGCAACTGGAAGTGGGGCGTGAGAGGCTTTGGAGCACTCAGCTTTAAGGATATTTTTATTAAAAACCCTTTCCTCAAAGCTCAGTGAAGAGGGAAGATTTTTAGAGCCAGAGGCTGTGGATAACTCCAGGCAGTCACTGCCTTCCCCACAGATCCTTGACCTTTGCTCCACCCCACCTGACTCTATTCTAGGGCTCCTATTCCACTCGCCCCCTCAAAGTCTCCATGTGCTTTGTATAAAACAGCTGTCTCCTAAGTTCTCACAGCCTCAGAAGCTTTCCCATCAAAGGCCTCATCCCTTAACTTCTCCAGTGCCACCTCGACTTTGCCTGAACAAGGTAAGTCCCTAAAAAGATGTTACTGGATGGTTATAGTTTGTAAAAATATTCACATTATGTTTTAACTTTTAAAAAAGCAGCTTAAGATTTTCAGAAAAACATTGAAAAATATGAGGTTCCCACTCACCCTTTCCCGCCCTTGGCAGTCTCCTTTATTATTACACCTTGTGTTAGTGTGATGTTGTCCTTCTCACATCTGAGGAACCAATATTGATGACTTACTAACATCTACCTTGTACATTACAATCCAGTTTTTGTTTTCTTAAGGTCACTGGCTACTGATTTAAGCATCTTCACAAGGATAATGATTGTTTTATGAAAATAGGGAGCAAATGTACCAAAGGTGGAGGTGGGGGCAAGGGAAAAGAGGCAGGAATCTGGTAACAGTCACCTTGGGACCGGCAGAGAAGAAGGAAGCTTCTTGCCAGAGTGGGAATTCCCAAGCCATTGAAATGGCAAAAGGAGCTGCCCAGAAGCCCTTGTGGTAGCTAGAGGTGAGTGGGGCGCTGGAAAGCCTTTTCTATGTAGAAGACTGGGGGAGCCCTGCTTGGCTGCGGCCTCTGGAGACTCATTGCTGAATGTTAGGGACAGAGGGGTCCTCACTGCTGAGCATTGCACACTGTTGAAGACTAAGACACACACAGCACTGTCTTCAGACACTCTTTGGGGAAGTCGTCACATGTTTTCAGCACCAGACCACAGTCCTGTTGAAGCCCCCTTTATCTAGCTTTTGCCCAGGACGTCACCATGTTGGCCAGGTTCTCTTGGCTTTTCTGCTGCAGGCCCAGCTATGAAGTCTTGGTGTCACCTTGACTTTTTGTTTTGTTTTGTTTGGGTTTGGTTTTTGTCCCATTTTAAGAAGAGGTCTTGCTATGCAGGCTGGTCTCTAACTCTGTGGCCCTGCTTCTCCTCTCCCTGCTGGGATGACAGGTGTGCACCACCATGCCTGACCTGAGGCTGTCCTGACAGGGCTGACTGGGGCAGGAGCTGTGGCTCACATATTGGCTCACTCCCGCTGGTCAGAGCTTCCTACTTGTCTTATACGTATGTTTTTGTAAATCTCTAAGCTTTTTGTTATGGTTGTTCTTTATTCTTGAGAATGTTACAATGAAATATGGAAAATGATCATACCCACCCTCAATTTCCCCTTTACATGCCCTCTCCCAACTTGGTCTTTTTTTGTTTGTTTTTGGTAGCCCGCTAAATCTAATTAGTGCTGCCTATGTGAGCATGGGTGTGGGGCCATCCAGCAGAACATGGGAAACCTAACAATGGCCCCACCCTCAAAAAATAAAGATCTTCCGTTCCCCAGCAGCTCCTCAGTGGGGGTGGGGCCTGGGGGTCACCTGGCCCATCTGTGCTAGGATTTTGGCTGGCTTGATTGTGTGCAGGTAGATACCTCTGCTGTGAGTTCACGACTGGGAGCCATGCCGAGTCCAGAAGACAGCACTCAAGCTCCTTCTCATCCTCAGCTGACATTGCTTCCATCTCTTCTTCTGCAATGCTCCAGAGCCTGGGTGCTAGGGGAGAGAACACAGTTGTCCCATTTGGGGGGTGAGCATTCTGCCTCTTATTTTCAGCACCTTGACGAGCATCCTTCCTTGACTGACATCTGTACAAGGCAGCGTCTTTGACCAAGAGTGGCTCAGGTCTATGACTATAAACATCAATATTTAGAATGCAATCTGACAACATGGTTATAGTGGTGACTTTTCTGGTGCTGTGATAAAACACCCCAACAAAAGGCAATCTAGGGAAAAAGCTAAATTTTGGCTTATATTTCCAGAGGGGTTCAGTCCTACACAACAGGAAAGGCAATGGGAGCAGGAGCATACGTGGGCCTGGCAGTCAGGGTCTGGATGCTCGCATTTCATTCGCACACATGAAATCCAGAGAGGACAGGGGCAGGGCCAGGTTCTAAAGCAGAAAAGACCACCCCCAGGCACCTACATCCTCCAGGAAGACTCTGACTCCTAAAGGTTCCATAGTGTTCTCGAACAGCTCACCAGCTGGGGACCAAGTGTTGAGACACGTGAGTCTCTGGGGCATCTCAAGCCATGGCAGTGACCATTTTGTGTGTCAACGACAGTAGGCTCTACCCTAGTGTCTACTGCCTCCCTAGCTGTGGGCTTTTATACTTTTTCTTAATTTTGAAGCTTTGTTTATTTTTATGTGTATGCATGTTTTGGTTCACATGTGTCTGGGCACCTTGTATGTGTCTGGTGCACAGAGGTCAGAAGAGGGTGTTGGATCCACTGAGACTGGAGTTATAGGTGGTTGTGGGCCATCATGTGGTGCCTTTGTTTCTTGAGGCAGGGTCTCACTATATAGCTCAGGCTGGTCTTGAACTCATTATCCTTCTGCCTCAAACTGGGATTATAGGCATGTGCCACCATGCCCTGCTTAACACTATCCTTAGAAAAACAAATTTTTAATAGTTATATTTTAAATTACTTCTTTGAGATTTTCACGCATTTATACAACTTTTTAAAATTATTATATTAACCCTCCAAAGGAAGGAATTTTGTGCCTGATACTGTAATCCTAGTCAAAAGCCCATGCCTACAGAGGTAATAGGTCCTAGGCTACAACCAGCTATTATTATTTTGCTAAACACCCATGCTATCAAATTTGTGTTTTAAATGTTAATGATTATACCCATCAATGTTCTGAACCTTGGTCAGAGAAGCCTCTTTTTGCAGTGGGAATAAATCAAAGCTGAGATATGTAACTGGTAGAAGTGCTGGGAATGAGGCAGAGTTCTCCAGCCTAAATGGAATGTCTATATTAATTCCCCCTATGGCCGCCGCGGCCAAGGCTCAGGAGCCAACAGGACATAAGATGGGAGGGGTGCTGAGCACGCTGTGCCTATCGCATTCATGAGCTCACAGCGGCTATGGCTGCCGCACAAGACTTGTGCACGATCAAGCCAGCGAAAATCCTGGCATAGTTGGAGATAGATCTCCAGGCCCCTCCCTTTACTGAGCAGCAGTTAGCAGCTGATAGCAGCTGTGGGTAGAGAATTATCTTGAGGATGTGATACTAGGTGGATTCCCATGCTCCAATGGATTGCCCACATCCACATGTAGGCATTTTTTTTAAAGCTATTTTATTTGGGTTTTTATATCTACCACTCTTCTCTACCCCAATACCTTTCAACCTCCCAACACTAGGTAGGCACGAAAGAGAGTTAGAGGAAAAAGGGGGCATAGACCTCTTGGGACTACCGCCTGCTGATTCGGGCCACCGGGTTCCTACGGGCAAGTCCAGTCTTTGTCCAGCAATCCAGCAATCACAGACTCAGCAACAGGAACCAGCAGCAGGGGCAGCAGGTGCCACAGGCTCTCTCCTCCTTATACTCGCTCCAGAGTCCCCAGAGTTAAACTTTCTGTAGCTGGCGAAGATCACACCCCTCCTAGAGCATGAGACAATCAGAGTCATCATCTGTGGACAATCTGAAGCAGCCCCACACCTGGGATTAAAACAAAAACATTCACATATCCTGAGTTTTTAAAGAAGCCAAAAATCTCACTACACCCACACACAAACAGGCAACGCTAACTGGATGTAGTAGGTTATTAACAAAACAAAACAAAACACAAAAAGACACCAGCCTGCCTGCTGACCCAACACAGGGCAGGCTGAAGACACTCAGAGGCCTCTGGTCACGCCCAGA